AACTATTTATCAGTTTGTGAAGGTTTAAGAATTAGAGGTCAATGAAAACGCGGCAACAAGACATTTGGAAAAAGAAAAAAGAAGAATAACATCAACTATCCAACCTTAACTATAGAAGAAAGATTCACAAATAAAACAAACAAAGCTCAGATAAGCAGCAAAAAAACGGTTTATCGATTGAGATCATAAAATAAGATGTTAAGTAACAAAATATGAGATTGGGGTTACAAGGTCAAATGAAGAAAAAATTGATAAATTTCTCTTCGTATACATAGATAAATCACTTTATGCACGTTTCAATATGTTTACCCGGTAAATTGAATATCAAGTCAAAATAGAACACTAAAAACCTTATCATAATATCAGTTCATTATATGAGTTAACATTAATCATGTGATAATCGCGATTTCGAATTGCCGGCATATAATATGCATTGGAATTGATAAGTTTGAATCGTTGAATACGCTATGCTCATCAAATTTTAAGGAGCCTGGATAATGCTGAATTCTCCTGAAAATAAGTATAATGAAAAATCAGTTTTTTTCAAGTTATATATATATATATATATATATATATATATATATATATATATACTTAAACAAGTTTCCCTCTGTAGAATCGATTATATTGCAGTTATTATCATCATTAACATCACTTTTATCAATACGAGCATCAATATGCTTTTGAAAAAAAGAAGACAGATTCATAATAATATGTAAATGTATGCCTGTTTTTGTCTCGAAAGAATTCTAATTTACTATTTCTGCTACACTACTAATATTGAAAACTCAGTTGTTGGACGCATGGAACTCAAAAAACTGTCAACCACTGTCAAAGTTACAATCTCCAATACGAACGTCAGGACATTTCTACTATATGGAGATGAAATTTCAAGAACTACCACAAACATCATAAAAATGTACAAGTATTTATAAACAACTGTCTACTCAAGATACTTGATGCCCTGTGTTGACTGGAAACTATCAGCAACAAACTAATGTTGGAGAGAATAAACCAGCCTCCAAATGAAGAGGAAGTTAGGAAAAGACGTCGGAAGTGGATAGGACATACATTACGGAAATCACCAAAATGCATCATGGGGCGAGCGCTAAAGTGGAATCTTGAAGGGAAACAGAAAAGAGAAAGGCCAAAGAACACACTGCTTTGGGAATCGAAAGCAGACATAAATGTATGAATAACAACTGGAAAGTAGTAGAAAGCACTGAGAAGATATTCATGTATATCCGTACCTTCCCATAAAAGTGTAAATGAGATAGTTTTTAACTTTAAATCGATAATTATGATTAAGCGAGAAAGTGCCATTCGATACAAGGCTACTAGAAGTACATATATATTGCTCACACTGCAGAATGTGACCACATCACTAATTAAATAGATTGTGTTCTGTATCGTCCATAGATTTTTACCAAATATTTGCAGTCTTAAAAAATCTGTTTGTTTACGTATCATACTCTCCTGTACTTATCTCAAAGTTAATTTTTTTTTAAACAGTGCTGTACAATCCAATATTTTAGTAAAAAGTTAATATCATAGTTAAATGTACGGCTTGATACTGATGATGGATTTATGCACGATCTTTGTTTACGGTTTCTAATGGATCGCATCTAACTAGATATAACTCTTCTAGTTCTAAGCCAAACCAGTAATTTTATTTTTCTTTACAAAAGCCTTATCCCAGAATATGTTACTTTAGATTGAAACTTACTAATGTATTTTACAGTAAGTGAAATTTACCAAACTTAGTTACAAAATTCAGAAGATTACATGGAGTTAAAACAGCTCGAATGTATTTTTTGTTTAGAGCTTACTGAATTAAAAAAAATTTTTTTATCATACAACAAACCGCCATTAAAAATTGATTACAGATCAGTTTGTAAGAAATCATTTGATTGAGAGATTAAAGAAAACTCTTGAAAAATACTGCTTTGTAAAGTGTTCAACTAAAAAGGACTCAGTGAAGACAATAGTGGACAGTCGAGCAATATCATGGATTGGTTGAAGTTAGACATTGACACCGTTGAACGCTGGCTCAGTAGTCCAGGCATTCGCGCGCTAGACCGAAGGTTCTGGGCTTGAGTCCCGCTTGCAGGATCGTAGATACGCGCTGCTGACGAGTCCCATACTAGGACAAAATCACTGCCCATTGCTTTCAGGTTTCGAAGGTGGTCTAACATTGATCCATCCGTGATATCAATCTAAACTGAAAAGTACTATCTTAAAACAGAATGAAGAGAACTTCATCTAAGTATTGTGTTCGAAAATTATTTAAACGTAGATCTTATTTTTATACAGGGTTACAAAGAACATACTTTTCGTTCTTGTTAACTTCAAATACTCTTGAGAAGGTAAACGTATTCACTTAATAAATAAACATACTTCTAACTTCTAACTAACTTTACGCGTTGAACTTCATACAGAATGACAATAACTCACTATTCTACCGGTATATGATATCGTATTTTTGTGTCAAGTGGATTCAAAGTAATTAATAGATAAGAAACTTCAGTTTCCTTAGAGTATACATTCTCAAAAACAGATTTCTGTTATGAACATTCGTAATTTCTAGTCTCCGGATTATATGATAACATGTGTTGAAACGTTTTCTTAATCCTTCCTTTCTGTGTGTAATAACAATAATAATATTATAATAATTATTATTATTAATGGCACCTATTTACTGTTTTACTTCACATGATTACATAGTTGTTTTAAGTATGTTTTCTTCCCTTGTATCTTTATAATTACCTTAACTATTTCAAGATATCATTCCCCTTAATCTGCAGATACAAATTAATTCTACATTAACCAATTAACATTAAATATAATATACTGTGAGGTTAGATCAGATATTAGTGCCATGATTAGATTACAACATAAATCCTTGTATAGTCAATACATAGGAATGTATACATTGAATATTCCAATTTTCTTATACTTCATTCTGATACTGTAATTCGACTTGACTATATAAAGAGTATACATGAGATAAACTATATTTAATTATTAAATTAAACAGACTTAATCATTTTCCCTACAAAATATTTTGTTCAATCATCAAGAGTTTCTGGAATCATCGAAGTCATTGAAAAATTCAAAATAATCTTTATCTAATTAAGAAAAACTACTGTTAGATTATCACAGTAATTGTTCATCTCAGTTTCTTTTTTTTAATTTCTCGAGATCATCTCTAATATCTCAAACCAATTATCACGAATTGTTCACATCAAACAGAAAAAAATGAAAACAGATTGTATAACTAAATGTATCACATTCAATTGCTTGTTCGATTCATACTTTCACCATGGTTACAAAACAGACATATTCATCTAATTGGCAGTTCCACATAACATAAATACTGATTTCATATTATCACCATCATTATATCTATGTGGATAGTTGAACTTTAAAAAAACCACATTAAGTCAACTCTTTTATGATTTATGCTTCGTTTGTCTCACTTATTTTCACTAGTAGAGTAAATGATATTTTACATTTTGTTACTGACTGTCTAGGCAGTACTGACTAGAAATCCTGTTGATTTCATTTGTAGACTCTTCTTTTTCCAGTTTTTATCATATTCCAAATCATTAATTATTGTCCATTGATTTTTTTCATTACAACTAAACCTATTTATTGTAGTCAGCATATTATAAGTTTGCTGTAATCTTTTAATTTTTTGCATTACACTGGAGATAGATTGACAAGTGTACTCATATATTCTTCTCCACACATTGAACAGGTGAATCACAGCTTACACTTCAAATTGTATTTTGTTTATCATACCACTTTAATAATAATGACTTAGTGTTCATAAACTTTGAACCGCTCAGTTAGTCCATCAATTATTTTTTAGTATAGCTGACTATTCTTCAGTTTCAAGAATTTCGTTCTTACCGAATTGACTAATATACAATGTACGCATTAGAAACTAATTTCATGAAGTAACTCCAAATGTCTTATTGAGAACTCGTGAACAATGGAGCTCAAACGTGTTAGATATGAAGTAGCTACTCACCAAAGACAATGAAAACTAGTTGCACAGTATTGTGGGTTGGTTAAAGTTAGTGATGTAAACCACTATTTCCCGACTCGGTGATTTAAGGCTTAGACAGTACTGTAAAAAACCCTGAAGTTCCTGGACTCGATAATAAGCAGGGTTAGGAATGCATGATTTTATGATTATTTCCACCATAATTTTAGCACAATCTCACCGATGATAATTTATCACTCTATTGAACTTATTCAAATATATCCTTCCCAAAAGTTGTAGGCAAACATGTTTCTACAGTGTGAGGCTGGATCAGTAACAGATCATTTTAAAACTCATGACTACTTGACTGAATGTTATGATTAGTGTTCATCACATCCTTTCTGACATAAAACTGAAACTGCGACAGGTAATTTTCACTGTTATGAACCATTATAATTGTGTTCTGATTGCTTATTAACCAGAGAATGGACTAAACTAATGATAGTTATATTCTAAATGCTTCATGTTAGTGGTGCTTATCTTTGACATAGATGTTAACATTATCTGAGCACTGTGTAGATTCAAGAAATTAGAATTGTCATGATACCATATTTCTTCCAATTCATGAGGTTCATCCTGTAATATAATCAAATCTCTAACAAATATCCTGGTATTGTATAGTTACCGTGAAACAAGAATGTAAATATTGCTACACTTATTTCAGCTACTGTTTTTACCGTATGATAATCCAAATAATATTTAGTTGTCACTGTATTGTACTAATTGCTTACAACTTAAACTCAGAAAGTGTATTTAATATGAAATATTTAGAGCAAACATTTTCTACTTCTCTCATGAATTCATAAATACATCAGAGTAATTAAGCAACTGTCCTGAATTTGTCTCATTTACATTAGACTTGTAATTCCAACAATAACCATAACAATAAATAAAATAATAGATGTGTCGTTTAAATGAAAAATGAAGATAAATTCCAGATTTAATGTTGTCGGGTCACGGAAACATTAAAAAGATCAATATAATTTGTCATAATCATAACAAAATAAATATAGGAAGAAACAATGAAATTCAATTGATTGATCTCATTTAGAATAAAAATCAATTATGTGGATATTGATATTATTACTGCTTATGCATTGTCTTTTATAAACTTAATCTATGATGACACATTTTGTGTACGTGTGTGTGTGTGTGTTGAAGAATTACAGTTTCCAAATAGGAAATAGCAGATAATCAAAACTTGAGACCAATGTAATATCATACTGTTTATTGATGACTGGACAGAGAACACAATGATGCATGAAATAAGCATTAAATATTTAAAGAAAATGATTCACATTAGGCACATTCGTTTTAATGAGTATCCTTGTTGTTTCATTTATTTGTATAAGGGCGTATACGCGATAGATATAAGGAGAATGAGAAATTAATTTGTTAATTTAATTACATAGTTCAGCCAATCATGTGAGAAATAGACAAATAACGTTGTATCTAATAAATTCTGGTTACTCTTAGGTAATTCTAGTTTTTATTATTATTATTATTATTGTTATTATTATTATTATTATTATTATTATTATTATTATTAATTGTTATAATCATCAACACCAACCCCATTTTCTCTTTCTCATCAATGTCATTGGAATTCTGTGGGGTTGGTTTTTTTTGTTATTCATTGAAATATACAACTGAATAAATATTACAATATGTGAATATTTGTGTATGTAAACGCTCATAGATTATGTACAACACATTTTTCTGTTTGTATTAGACATTTTGCCAATATTTCTTTTCAATGATCCTGATGATGATGTAGTTAATGTGACAACTGCAACTTGTTCATCTTCATTCAACTTCATCCCTCTATAATAATAACAGTAAACATTAATGATAACATATTTTGTTATTTACATTTATTGTATATGTAAACAATTGAGTTATTTTAGATAAAAACAAATAAGTTTAACAAAATAATTGTTATCATGAATAAGCAGTAAAATTCACCCTCACAATGTAAATTAGTAACTATCCAGACTGAATGACCTAGTGGATAACACGTCGAACTTTAAAAATAAAAGATACTGAGTTCGAGTCCCGAAGTAAACAGTCCAGATACGACTAGCTGATGAATTCTAAATCCAATAAAAACATACATTATAGATTTCACTGTTAACCTTAATCCATTTCTCATTGAAATACTTGTGACCTAATGATCAAAATTCCCTCTTTAACATTAACAATGAATAGATTCAAACATTTATAAATAAACAATCATTATAAAATTATTGAATGATCAATTTAACATAAACTTAATTGACAAGAAACAAAGATGAAATTGGAGAAGAAAAGACAATAAAGAAACAATTGTTCATTAATATTTAGTTTACATAGAAATAGTTCGACATGATTCAGGGGTTTAAATTGATGAAGTTTTTAAAAGAAAATAATAACTTTTTTTCTTTACATCTATAAATGAAATAACAATGCAAGAATTGTTAGACTAATGAATGTTTTGTTGGCTGAAACATTATTATACACTAGATTTATTAAAAGGCTATCAAATGGATATTATAAATATGGGGTACTATTCACTTTGATAATCATTAATAAGATTAGATTGACTTATTTGAGTATTTTAAAACTCAAGATTCTTTCTTATTTTCAATTTTCTAACAACAATTCTTTTGATTCATGAAAAGAACTTATTTTTCTTATATAGTATAATGTAATTCCACATGGTTAGAAGAATATTCATAATGTAAGGTTTAAAAAAACTGTTTAAGTGATTTTGCTTTAGATAGGGACTGGTTGTAAATCGGCAGTTTTTACATGCTATAATTATATTCAATACCTCTAAAATGAAAAAGCAATAAAACTTGACGCTATATCTAAACTATATCATTAAATTTAACCTAACTCCATCTGTCGCTCTTTTAAGGCTACTGCCGGTCACAAAAGCGAGTAAAGGAGGAGAGTTGGGCATCAGGTCAGTAACCCCATCCCGTAGAAAGCAACGTTGTTAAACGACGCCAAACAGAATAAACAAATTAAACTGTCTAAACTTTGAACTACGAGTTGAAGGATCTTCATTTACAAAAATTATGACGCCTCATAGTGAAATGCCGAGATTCTTCAGAAGTCAAGGGGAAGATGACCTTCTAACAACCACAGCAACAGTTAATATTGGTACATGAAACATCCTGGCAATGTGAGAGACCGAGAGGACTAGTCAAATAGCAACGGAAATATGGAGATGCAACGTAGCGGTTCTTGGAACCAAGTGAAACCCATTGGACCCAAGCAGGACAGCAAAGGTTAGGTACGATAGAGATGCTGCTGTATTCTGGTCACGAGGAGGAAACTGCTCCACACACTCAGGCAGTTGCTCTGATGCTATCCAAAGAAGCAAGTAATGCATTTATACAATGAGGATCTCATAGACTCAGGATCATCAAAGCATCTTTCAAAACAAATAAGGAGGGAATCATAATGAATGTTACCCAGTGTTATGCACGTAACAATGATAGCAAGGACGACGATAAAAATCAGTTTCATGAGAGACTGCATTCCATCATGACGGAGTGCTGAGGAAACGATATGACCATCCTGATGAGAGATCTAAACTCCAAAGTTGGAATGGAAAACACCGGGTATCAAGATATCATGGGACGACACGGACTGGTTGGGAGAGAAGAACGAGAACCGTAACAAATTTGCAAATTTATGTGCATCCAACAAATCACTTATAAACACCGCAATATTTCCACACAAACACATAAACAAAGCTACACGGGTCTCATCATGTCACACTGAACACAATCAGATCGAAGATATTTGCATCAGTAAAAATTCAGAAGGGAAACGGAAGACATGAGAACCAGGGGAGAAGCTGACATAGCTTCAGATCACCACCTGGTTGTAGTTGCCAAAATGAAACTGAAGCTAAAGAAGCAATGGACAACTGGGGAAACAGCATTACAAAGGTTCAACACAGTCTTCCTACGAGGTCCTAACAAACTCAGCGAATTCAAGATTATTCTTAACATCAGGTTACAAGTCTTACAGGATCTACTCAAAGACGAATGAACCATTATTGAGGACAGTTACAAAGGGGTCAACAAAGCATTGACGTTAACAGGTCAGGAGGTTCTGGGCCGAAAGAATCATTATCATAAGGAATGGAGCTCTATGAAACCCTGGGTAAGATTTAAGAATGGAAGAGCAAAAAGACAGCGATTAACCACAGTCGAACATGAACAGAGAAAGGCAAGGCACAACCTGAATTCACAGAAGCAAATGAGAGAGCGAAAATGAGCATTAGAGCTGACAAGCAGAAATATGTGGAAGACCCAGCAACGACATTGGAAACAGCTGCAATAGAAGGAAATATCAAACAACTATATGACACAATGAATAAACTAGCACACAAATATAGTAAACCAGAGAGGTCGGTCAAGGACAAAGAAGGCGAGACAATCACTGAGATTCGAGAACAGAGGAACTTATTGCTAGAACGCTTCGAGGAACTCTTGAATAGACCAGCTTCATTAAATCCACCGAACATCGAAGCAGCACATACAGGCCTTCCCATAAATGTCCATCAGATCATCAAACAAATCAAGAGTGGGAAAGCAGCAGGACCTGGAAATATATCAGCTGAATCTCTGAAGTCAGACATATAAGTAACCACAAATATGATTCACACTCTATTCAGGAAGATTTTGGAGGAAGAGCAAATGCCACTGACAGATTGAAAAGAAAGATACCTCATCAAAATACCAAAGAAAGGAGATCTGAGCGAATGTGAGAACTCAGCTACAGAGGTATCGCACTACTATCGATGCCAAGGAAAGTTTTCCACAGAGTGTTGCTGAAACTGATGAAAGATTCAGTAGACACCCAACTTCTATATCAATAAGCAGATTCTGTAAGAACCGGTCGTGCACAAACCGAATCGCGACACCACAGATCATCGTTAGACAATCAATTGAATGGGACTCGCCACCATACATCAACTTCCTTGACTGTGAGAAGGTGTTTGACAGTATGGATAAGAGAACCTTACGGAAACTTCTTCGACACTATGATGTACCTGAGAAGATCGTCGACATCACACGAAATTCATACGACGTACCACACTACAAAGTCGTATATGGAAGACAGCTGATAAACGCATTCCAAGTAAGGACCAAAGTCAGACAAGACTGTTCACTCTCACCCTTTTCCATTCTACTAGTGGCTGATTGGATTATGACGACCTCGATATCTGGACGGAAGCACAGAATACAATGGACAGCTTGGAATCAATAAGAAGATTTGGACTTCGCAGATGACCTGTACCTTCTATCCCATACACGTCAACAAATACAGATGAAGACAACTAGTGTAGCAGCAGTCTTTGTATCAGTAGGACTCAACATACACAAGGGAAAAAGCAACATTCTCAAATACAACACGGAGAACACCGACCGAATAGCACTTGGTGGGGAAGATAGAGAAGAGGTGAAAATTTTCACGTACCATCGATAAACAAGGAGGATCCGATGCAGATGCAAAGGCAGGGATTGGCAAAGTAAGGACAGCATTCATACAGTTGAACATCATATGGAACTCGAAATAACTATCAACCATTATCAAATTCATAATCTTTAATTTCTTTGACTTTGAAATTTGATTTTTACCATAATGTACACTTTATTTCAAACTTTATTCGTTTGCTCCATGTGTCTTTATCTGGATATTACTATTCAATGTTCATTTATTAATAGTGGCTTTATTCAGAATTATATGTTTAGTACAATATAAAATTCTCAGCACAAAGTATTTCAACAAGTTTCTTTTATAATACAAGAAAAAAGAAAAAAACACCTATAACTGAATACATATGTACATGGATTAAATAAATAAACTACCTGGAATGTAATGAAATGTTTTTCTACCCAGAAGATTTGACTCTGTACAACATTGTTATTAGAAACATCTCTAAGAGTATAAGTTAATGACTATTAGGTCAGCTCTAACAATCTGTTCGCCAAATGGTATATTTGTTAAATAAACTGTTATACAGCTTACATATCTTTGCTTGCATGTATGGATTCTAATACATGGGCGCCTCGTCTTACCAGAAGATATACATTTATTTATTTAAAAAGTAAGTAAGATAATAAACAGGTGTATAATCGCATTTTAGAAGAGAACCTTTTATTTTTCATTTAAGATGTTTAATTTGATTATCATTAAATTGAATAATTCACTAATCTGAATTCAGTGTTTATTGATAATATTATGGAAAAATTGAAATCATAAAAACAAAATCCAGTGTTGCTATTCAGAATAAAACTAACATTGATCCAGTTATGTTAATGTATTTGTACTGGTCTCTCAATAAATAAAATAAATGATGAATAAAATCATTCTACAATATAACTATTCAGAATTATCTTCATCAATATAAGTGTATTCTTATACTAAATATGATATATTAATAGTATGAAAATTGTATACGGCATTAGTATCTTGAAGTAATTCATAACAGAGATGTAACTTCTTCCTATATTTCCCATCCTCTAAGATGAAAATATTTGGAAGTCTAATAGATTGGACATCAAGGGAGACCAATGATGAGGTGTTTCAGATGCCATAAAAACGACTATCTGATAAAATGACGAGTTTGGTCAACTCGGCCAAAATACTTAGTAATCGTATTGTAGAAGAGAATAGTTAATGACTTAAAGTAGTTTCCAACCAAACGTTTTATTTCAAAGTGAAACTGAAATAGGATTAAAATACTAGATTTTACCGAGTTTTATTATTCCCATTGTCAAATATGAATTTTTTAAACGATGTGTTTTTATTCTATGCACTAATCTTGAATCGATCAAAATATATAATTTCCCTAAAAACTAGTTGTGTTATATATTATTGTTTTCGTATTTTATAGAACACGGACACTGTGAAATCGTTTAACACTCGATTTATTACTTCAATCAATACCCGAATAAAAAACTAGTCTAACTGTTCAAATTCTCAAGAAACATTCTTGTTAGGTTATTTTTATTTTCATATGTTATTTGTAATTTACAAATACTACTAATTAACAACCATCTGACTGATATTGGCTTTATTATCAGTTGTTATACTGTCGAAAAAAGTCATTAGATATTACTGAGAAAAAAACATTTTTTTGGTCCATTTACATTTATTTCTGAAGAATAAAAACAACAGTTATTTAATCTCTTGCTTTCCTCAAGAGAACAGTTAAATTATTCACTGAATTCAATATGTCATTCACACGGTTGAAAGGATGATATTTTATGTTATTTGACAACGTTAGAATTGTTTAAAGTTGAATTCCTAAACTATCGGCATTCAAGTGTCGCAACTCAAATGTCATTTATCAGTCACAATTCTTAATTAAGAGCTCGTTTTTACAATAAATTACATATATATATTTCTTAAATTTAACTTACTCCGTAAGAAGTTCAACAGCTTCTGTGATATTATGCTTGCTTAATACACTTGTTTCAATGAATGAAACGTGATGTAACTGAAGAAGAATGAGGCAAAAATGTTTAACACAATCAATATTTTTCTGTATGCGGTCATCAGAAAAAATGATAAATATTTAATACAAATTCACATTCTACAATATATATTAAAATTATTTAATTAATCAGTATAGTTTGATCATTTAATTAAAAGATAAAACACTTTCGGTATCTAGTTCTTATGAATAGATTGGAAGAAACTTTACGGCAGTCTTTTCGGCAATGTTGATATGGATGTATGATAAAAATGTATTACACTAATCTCTTATTATAACCGATAGGCGTTTTTTTAAATCGAATATTTTAGGGGCATTTAAGAAGGGAGTAGTAACAGTTTTACACCTTAGGTTTCAAAAGAATTTTAGTAAAAATTCAAAAATACAATAAATTGAATACAAACAAGTAGTACTGACAAATATATGTCAACAACTTTGATAACCGAATGTTTCTGTGCTAGAAACCACATATATAAATCATTTTAAGTCAATACATAATCTGTCTTAATGGAGATATACACCATTACATGAAGGGCGATACATCAATACGGTTTATCGACTATTATTACATATTAAGAGGTAGCTCCTCTAGGGTTACTGCCGGTCGCAAACCTGGGTAAAGCAGGAGAGTTGGGCATGGAGTCTGTAATCTCATCGCGTAGAAAACAAGCTCTCTATAAGACGATAATCAGAATAAACAGTTTAAGGGAGTAATAGGTAGACGATTAATTTACAATGATTTTTGAATAAACTGATTATGTTATGCAGAATGAAACACTTCTTACTTACTTTAGCTACATTGGCACCCATTTCATATGTGATGTACTTGTGCGATTCATCTTTTTTCATATCATCATTATTATTATAACTTTCTTTAGCATTGTTACTACTGGTATTGCGTAAATCAACTTTATTACCAACTAGAAGAATTGGAACATTTTCTTCACTTGTCGATTCCTTTTTATCAAACGAAAAGAGGTTTTTGAAAAAAAAGTTGTCAGTAATAAATATAATGGAGATTGTTTATCGAATTTTTGTAAAGTTACACGTACATATGACTTTAATCATATGATTCCATTTTTTTCTCAATGATTATTAATATGGTATTCAGCCACAACTAATATCACTACGTGTGGAATAGTTAATTTACCACATCATATGCTTCAGTAGACACAGTCAGAAAGTTTATATAACAAAATAGTTTGAATTACACGAACTATATATATATATATATGATACTTAATTTTACTGTGCAATATAATCTGTTGAAGATTATTTGCGTTTTCTAGACTGAAATGTAATCTTCACTTATCCTTGATCATTGAGCATATCCAGGTTCGTGATTCACTCCAAAAAGATGAAGTATTTAACCAGCTAGTGTTTAAATTGGATTTACTTAGATGGTTATTGCAATCATAAATGGTTACTGATTTTGAAATCATTGAGCCAAGTTGGTGAATAATTGTTCATGTTTAGATTCAAATCTTGATTTCTTTCCAACATGATTATTCCTAGATCCAGTATACACTGATAAGAATATTTAGGTAGTATTGTATCTAATATAAACATCCATAAAATTTTCTACAAGGACTTATTAGCATAAAAATTGATTGTCGAGTAGTAAGTCTCAAATCCATATGAAAGTCTACAAGATGAAATATAGGGTGTTTTTAAAAATTTTGGTGATTCCGAATGATATCACTTGTTAAATAACTAGTTAACCTATCAACAAAGATATATTTCCATCCTCTAATTCAATTTGAAATGACTTTGACTATCGCAGTGTTGATATTTCGGCTAAATTTGACTAGTCTGGGTTCTAGTCCCGGAGTGAAGATCATCTGTGGCATTCAGGTATGTGAAGCTGACAAGTACCAAATAGGACGAAATGAGCGTCCTGGATTCCACTGCTAGCCACATTCCATCTTAGTATTCTTCATTTGTGATTAAAATAAATCGCTAGAGACTTCGTGGGAAAGAAGTAATAACGGCATATGCTATTTAAAATGTAAAGCTTGAAATAGTGTCAGTGGTTAAACAGTTCATGTATGAAATAACGTGTCATTTATTGGTTTACTAACCTCTATCTAGTGGTAGAACAGTGTAATATCATATATGATATATTAAAAATATAAAACAAATGAGAACTCATATGCACATGAATTGAGCAATAAAAGAACAAACATCCTATCATCTAGGATGGATAAACCTTCATCTGTTAATTAAATCATCAATAATAAACAATGAGAAATAACTGTCTTTCTAACATGACATCTACTTTGGGAACAAAACTTTCCTTCATTAGACTATCTAATTTACAAGACTAGAGGTACCAGTATTTTAACACACGTCTAGTTATAATTACAATCGATATTGAAAACCTTTGAATGTTGACTAAGTTGCCCTTGTTTTGAGGTCTGAAGGTCTTGGGTTCGATCTCCGGTAGCGTTTTGAATAAGTACTATTGAGGAGTCGTATGCTAGGACAAAGCACTTATCTAGCTCACTATGGTTTTCATTGTTGACATGAATAATAATGGACAATATTCACAAATCCTGTATGCTGATGTCAAAAAGTTAGCTATCTAGTAATCCAGTTACACATACTGACATTTTACAAACAATCCACGTGACAGTTACTAACCGACTGGTAAATATTTGTAGAAAAATAGATCTCTATGCTGAAAAATCCGATCTTCACAAAAATCAGCAGTATTTACCTAATTCTCTGACAGCACTAATCTGTAATTAGAAATGTGATAAAATCCACCTACTTTTATCATTTCCATCCAATATTTGATATTTGCAAATGTATCAGGTTGATCAACTGCATACATTAAAATTACACCGTCAATTTTGCGGAAATATGAACGGACAATACAACGATACCTAATAAAAAGAAACGTATCAAGAATAAAATTTATTTATGCACTCACCATTGACTAAATGATAAAGTAGACGATTTTTTTCATATTTTCTTAGACATTACCAAACTGGTCAGCAAATAATTAATGAATTGTTAAACACAAGTGTATTCTGATAGAGAAACTGCTCATAAAGTCAAAGGGATATAAGTTTCAGTTATAAACAGTATAGAGCCTGACATAAATATGAATTAGTCTAGATTTTTATCCGACAATACAAAGATAAAATGAGACTAACAAGATAAATACCAAAGGAATCGAAATGATGCAGTACCAATTAATAATGGCTTTATTCAATATTATATGCCGAATATACGATGAAACTCTCAACATAAAATATTTTCGCAAGTTTCTCTTACACTTCTCATATAAAAAATATTTTCATGTATAGACGTGAAATAAGTAAAGAAGTTATGTAAAAATGAAATATTAAAAAAAATGAAATTCTATACAACTGTGAATACAAGTCTCTGATCAGATTAATTCACACAATCTGCTGGTCTTACAGTGGATGCGCTAGATACGGTACTGTAGAGCTTCCATACTTTTCTTTTTAATTATGGATTCTAAGGTATCCATATCTCGTTTTACTAAAAGACATACAAGGAGAAAGATTTGTATGTAGTAGATGATTAATATCTTATAAAATAATACTTTTCAGTAGTTTTCAGGATCTCGAATATCTATCAGCAACCAAATTCATCATTATATCAGAAGATTTACCCCCTATCTTACAAACTCCCCTTAGCATTTTCCGCAACACAACAAAACCTTTTCTCAAAAGCCCAGGAGGGAATAATAGCTAATATACAGGAATTTATGGATCGTGGAAGTAAATGTTTGGTAATTCCAGGAGCATATAGCAAGTTAGGCGAAAAAAATCCAATGGTATTAACAAGGCATGATAAGACCAAGATAGACCAAAAAATACTTATACCAAAACAAATAATGTTTAACAGTTTTTTTAGAGATCCCCTAATAACACAAATTTTATGTGATTCTAACATGGTGTTTAAATGTTTTCTATGCATTAGGCTAAAGTTAGTGGTTCAGAATTTGGATGTATTAGATCCAAGATCAATAAACATAGACCTTCGTTCAATGAGTATAAAAAACTGATGCATTACGAGTACATTTGAAAAGGAAGAAACTGACGTACATACAGTAATGTCTTCCGCATACTTAAACAAAACGTTTCTGATGGTAGACCATTCAGAAAAAAAGGAGGATGGAAATGGAAAAAAACAGCTCCTTGTTGCGCATCAGCTTGAGTTAATAAAGCAGTAAGATACATTCTACCAAACACAGTATAATACTCTCTTTCAGCAAGTTGGTTATCCACATTTTGATGTTAACATTGTCAAACAAACATAATAATTCTAGTCTTTGAACACAGTCAAAGGTAGGTGTATGACTGGAAAATGCACGTCGAATATATTTTCCATCCGTTTTCAAACAGAAAGACGGAACATCAGAAACATGGTTTGAACGCACCTGCACAATTGTGAATGATTCTGAGACATGTCATCTAACACCTGCAACCACTGATCACAATTATTGCGCAAACCCCAACCTGATAGTTTATATCTACCAACATACTTCAGGCCTACACTCAGTGATTTCATGGATTGACGTCACATTTTGGTTTAAGAGCCACTGGCCTTCTTCCAAACCATTTCGACATCAATAAATATCACTCGTCAAGTTAGATGATAGTTCAGTATACATAACACATGTCCTACCCACCTCAGTCAGTGAGGATTTACCACATCAACTGATTTGCAAACCTTGCCAAGTACCATATGCCCAACCACAACATCGTTCACTCGATCGCTATACGATATCATAAGCGAATAATTTATGTTTGGATAATTAACATTGAAAATAATTCTGTAAAAAAATAATTGATATAATTTTATTATTGTTCTCAATTAAGAACTATTAGCATTGTAATCAAAGAGTAGTTAACAACCAACCCTAAATAATGAGCTAATAATACCATCTTTTTTAGATTGACTATCGTTAAATTATTCTTCTGATGAGCTGTCATTTGTTTAAACAACAGATTAACAAGTCTTTCAAAAACGACACTTTGATATATGAAGAAAAATGACGTGAAATTTTATTTTATTTAGACAATAAATCACCGAAAGTAGATAAACCATGAAAGTCTGTCATAGTGAATAAGTCTCAGTGACACTAAGAAAATAGTTGTAACCGTTTGTACCTAAAAAAATAAATCCTTTTGTAAATATACATATATTGAAGATGACAAATAAAACTATTAAGCTATCGGAATAGTCATCTCCAATAATCTCAGATCAGTTAGTATATCTATCAGAACATTGGGAATGTAGTGAAAAACCTTTTGATTGATTAAAATTTTAATACCTAAATAATGAAATTTTTTTAGTATTTTCCATTAATTCAGTGGAACTTTTCACTATGACTGTCTAGTTAATCTTCATCCCAACAAAAATAATCTTGAATGCAAATGAAGATTTATTTATTTACCAACCATGAATTTCATCATTAATCTCTAACTGATTAAAAAGACATTGAAAATGATGTTATATATGTCGTTTACCTAACAGGTTAATGGTCACGTTTGAATACATTAAAATAGGTAGGGGTTGAAATCGATTAAACAACAACCTGATATGAGTATTTAATTTACAACATCAATAGATCAACTGTTTCAACTAATAAATATAACTACATAAATGAATTACTTTTTTTTACTTCTTCTTAATAGTTTATAACTTACGTCTCTTGTCCAGCAGTATCCCATAATTGAATAGTGTACACTGAATTATTCATTTTAATATTTTTTGTTCGAAAATCAACTCCTTTAATAGAAAAAGAACGATAAACAAATGATTGAAACAAAATAACTTCTAAACATAAATTTTGATATTATCACTAGATTATAGCTTTCTGAAACACAATCTAAACTAGTAATTTGAAAAAAAGATGATACAAATTAAATTTATAGAAATGTTATTTGATAAATTAGTTTATCCATGTGTAGATAATTGAAGGTAGTCGATAGGAAACAATGGATCTAGGTTTCGTGCTATTTAACACCCATCAGAAACACCTAACATTTCAGTATAATGGATATGATATCGAGTCACTTAGACTTGTATCTACATTACAACTTGATCGACAGATATTCGATCGGCATAAAAAAACTAAACAAATATGACAGTAATCATTATCAAGTGATTGACTAGTTGCAATCTGTCTACGGCTGACGAAAATACTGAAAATACTAATCTAAGATGTAAAGCACTTAAAATCTATCGAGAACAAATCAGTTGTTTTGTGTTATTTTATACGTCTTTGAAAATATGCATTACTAATAAATATTTAAGATTAAGAAATAATATCTTTCTCAAGTGTCGAGTGCACTCACCAAATCCACTGATAAGGTAATAAATCATCGTCAGTTGAGGTGGTGAGACATTTCTTACGTACGCGAAACCCCCGCCAATCTCGACGAGTGATGTTGTCTGATGTAAGAGTAGGCTACAAGAAAGCTAGGAGCCGCCAAACCAAAACATGGCATCAGTCCACGAAGTTGTTAACAATTGAATTGAGCTATGTCAATAGGTGCAGACTATCTGGTCGGGGTTCATGTAAATATCTAATGGATAAACAACCACTTATTTGTTCTTATCGAAAGAAAACGAGCCTCGTGAATAAGGTCAACAAAAGCTTGATGAATGGATAGAAAATGATAGTTTTCCAAAAACGCTCCCTTAATTTAAACTTTTACCGACTACACTTAAATTATAATTTGATTTATTCCCTGTAAAAAGCTTTGATGAATTAGTTCTAATGGTGAGAAAAATTAACAATTATATTTTTTCCACAGATGATTCTGCTATGTTTGAAGAGATTACGAGTTCACCTAGTATGCAAACGGAACAAAGACTCTGTGATCAAAGACCAATAACCTAGCTATTCTGATGCGTCCCAACCCCGCTAACTAGAGAGAGAAGTCCAAGTTCGCAACGGGGAAATATGTACAGCAAGCAGCCAGAAGCACGAACAAACACGACAAGTCTAGTCAGAAATACATTCATTTATATATTGGTTTGTACACTCATTTTTTGATTAATAATCAGAATAAATCACATATAATATGAAACATACTTCATACAAGAATATACAGAATAAAATGTCATAGGAGAAAACGACACAAATATTATCCTGAGTCATCAACAAATTGAATTAAATGGGATTAGTGTTAAGTAGAAATCATAATGAGTAAATCAATCTAATTTTTGACTTTTTATCCTGTCATAACAAATTTACATGGTTCATTTGTAAATAACTTCTAGATTAGATTAACTGCTTTCTACAATTTATTCTTTAAATTTCATCTTGGAAATACGTTTCACTAACTGAATCATTATCTAGAAGCACTGGACCGCCGTTTCATCCTAGTATGGGACTCCTCAGCGGTGAGCATTCACGATCCCGCACCCCGCGAGATTCAAACCCAGGACCTATCAGTCTCGCGCCAGGCGCTTCATTTGACTCATGATTTCAATCAATGAAAATTTCTAAAATCTCCACGAAACCCCTTCCTAATCATAACCATTGAAAAACTCAGAATAGTTATTTTTAATGAAATACAGGAACGGTAAATGTTGATAACGAAAAAAATACTTATTTCTCCTTGAAATTGTTAAAACTATTTATTCAACTTACCTAAAGTAGCTCTAAGTTGTGGATAAAATATTCCATCACAAAATCGATATGAGAAACTAGATTTGCCAACACCTGAATCCCCGACTAAAATCACTTTAAATATACGTGTTGGCGTTAAAGTTTCTGTAGGGTGTTGTTCTTCAGTATTATTTTCGAGAGCTATAAATTCATTCTTATCATAATTGGAACCACTGACACTGCTAATATTCTCACTAGAGTAATCTGAGCGTCGACATGTGGAATCAAGATGATGATTTTGTTGGCGTTGGAGTGGTAGAATATTTTCCAAACTATCAAATTCATACGGCTAAAATGTGTGAAATACATGAAAATTAAGACAGTTTTTTAAGTTCGTTCTCTACTAGAAAGTAAGTTAAATTGGCTAGAGACGGTACAGCTGCTTTAAAATGTCACTCAATTTGGTCAATGTGAAAATCATGGGAAACTTAGTGTTTGGTAATTACTAAAGACATGTTTCCCTATAAAAATAACAGTCGATTTTAGAAACTAAGATCTACTTTGATGATGGGATAATAATGTCTCATTGAGGATCATATAACCATATTAATTGGTTCAATTTATTTACAACATGGTGACTATGATAAACAGGACCTAATCAATTATTAAACTCAAAAGTACCAAAGGCAAACTTATAAGCAGAGTGAAGAAAACATGATTTAAAACCAGCAGTAAACAGTTCCTAGATAAGCAACGAACAAATAACATATATACTTATTCTGACCACCAACAAAATACGGTATTCGACTATTTTTGCTATCAATTTTGAGAATATGATTTGAAAGGTGAGGAGAGTGGTTCATTATACAAACTATATGCTTCACAACTTCCATATGAATTGTGATATGAAATAGTCAAAATAAAACTCAAACGTCTTAGATATCAGCTGTGGGTAGCATTTTTTAATCTTTGCTCAAAATTAGTATTTCTGGGATGATTGTTTGATTGAAAACAGATTATTTATTCACTGGATCCATCTGTAAATCAACACAATAGATGTACCAGTTGGAAACTCAACCCATCAATCGTTCACTTTTAATATAAGATCATTGCTCAGTAGGATAACAATTCAATACATTGATATCTTGAATTGTGGGTTGTAAAGCTTAAAACACCTAGTAGAAAAATTTATATGTTACATCAGAATTCATCCAAACTTCTGAAGTATTTCAGTCATTCAGCTACAACGTAGGACCAGGCACATAAATGCATTGGTCCAAGTTGCCATACCTCATTAACATAACAAGATGAACACCAAATACATAGAAGTAGTTAATTCATAGGTGGTAATATATAAAAGAAAGATGTATATATGGATAAAGTACAGGAAGGAAGAATTAGTTCGTAGAAAGAAAGATATGAAGTGATTTTAATCTCTTAGTTTAAGGGAAGACAGGGAGTGTATACACCTACTCCATTGTGATCGATTCTGAGCCATGTCACCAAGAGTCTCCAACCATCGGTTACGAAAGTCACGCGGACCCCAACCAAGTAGTTTGCATCCATCAACATGGTTCAAACTAGAAGTTAGTGACTTCAAGCACTGATGCCACGTTTTGGTTTGGCCGCCCCTAACTTTCTTCCAACCAACTCCAACACCAGTTAGCATTGCACGTCGTGGTAATCGGTGTTCAGGCATACGTAACACGTGGCCCAACCATCTCAGTCAATGAAGATTCACAACCTCATCAATTGATTTACCATCGTTCCCTAATACCCTGCGTCTAACCTGAAGTATTTACTATTAGTCAAATTATGATTCCATTAATAAAGTACATTGAATAGATCTATATTAAACTGCACAAAAAACATTAGATACTTAAGAAACATTTCCAATAATCATGCATTATTAAAATTAATACTCCAACATTTGCTAAACATAATAACAATAAATACAAAAATGTGTAAAACTTGTTCAAAATCCAATTAAACAATTCACTCTAAATGATTATTATTATTACCCAATATACGTGCTCGTATATGGTTAAATCAATGTTTGTAAATACTATATTTATTATAAATTAGAAACTGATCTCATATGAGATTTAAAATATTTTTATATAATAATATGATCCAGGTATGTACTTATTATTGGACATTAATAATTGTCCTTTATTCAGTGTTATTATCAGGATTTACAAATAACGAATAGATCATTGATATACGCTTTAAATGCATTAGTCATATGCAAACTCTTAAATAAATAAAAAAATTGTTTTATACAATGTCCATCAAATTAATTTTCTTTATATATATATATACCTTTTGGTTTAGAAATGATGATATCAATCATGAGATATTTAAATAAATCAGCCGTTTGTGATTGATTTCTCAAAGTAAAGTTTTACTTTAGGTCTTTTTGTGGAGAACATATTTTGAAATGATAGTTTCTTGTTTGATAAACAAAAGTTATTGCTACAAGACGCCTTTCTATTAAATAATATTTCCTCTGTAGTGCAAAATTACAAAAAGCCGGATACCGTGAACAGTAAGTTTATTTATTTGAACACACAAAAACATTGATACAAGAGGACAACAAATACATATGCGCCATACAATAATAATGAGGTCAGTAGCACTTTGTGTGTGGGCTGTGATACTGACAAGAAGGCAGTGAGTAGGACTTCCCTGACAGTGGGTGTATACGCGTGGCCATATCAGAATATTTCAAGAGGGACTCTCCCCACCCTCAGCCGTACTACGGCATTTGTGGGCGTGAACCGTCAGACTATGACTTGGTATGCCAATGATACAATCTAGATTCTTGAGTCAATACTCCCCCCATGTGGTTGTTCAATCCTTAATTACTAGGATAAAACAATTATTAAGATTCACTCTCTGATATTCAATAAATCACCATCTGATGATAATCTTCAATTTTTAAGTTGAATGAATATCCATCTTCTCCCTCTAGCCTAATTTATACATTTTCCACAGTTTTAAATGTCATCAACTGAATCAGAAACCACCTTATTTTTGTTTGACTTCACAAGTTAACAGTCATACTTGAAGTAACAGTCTTTTAAGGGTTAATAGGTCATGTAAACACTTTTTAAAAACAATGAAATCTAAGCAATATTTACGTTTTCAGTATGTTCTAAAATCAATACCGAAAAATACTGAAAACAATCAGTTACCATTATGATTAGAAACTGGTTACAGGTAGACAAGTTAATGCTTTGCAATACATAATTTTCTTTGTGGCATATATACTTACTGAAACTTACGATATTATTATGACGTGGCAACGAATGAGTTGATATATGAAACGTCCAATCCCTTAACTATACAATAGGAAACGTCTTTGATTCAATTTTTTTGCTTACCGATCTATGGATTGTCTAATTATCCCACTTCAGAAAGAGACATTTTCTATGCATATATTTACAGTAAATTAAACAATGTAGTTATTTATGATAATGAAAATATACCACTTATGGACGATTTGTCAGTTTACAGTAGTATTATTCTTCATGTTAAACTTCAGTCAGAAATCTATTCTTTGTTTTGTAAATCACTATCTTAAAAGTGAAAAAAATTTAACACTTAGAAACTTTAGAATTTATGATAGAAACTGAACGTGATACTGTCCGGTAAACTGTACCAATTACTACTACTTCCAAACACATTGAACAAAGAATGTTAGTTCTAATATAATTCGATAGAATTCTATATTATAAATTAGACACGTTTTATCGTCCTGAATTTAGGAGGGAAATAGGTAAACAACTAGATCTTTACAAACACAACATAAAAACATATACATATTCATACAACTATACACACAAACAAAAATGAATGCGTACATGTACACATAAAACTGAAAATAAGAGAAATAATCCGTTGCAAAAAAGATAAACAACAATTTAGGATGTAAACAACAACCATTAGTTAATACCAAAGAGGAAAACAACCAGTGAGAAAATTCTCATATTAATTTTTGGTTATCACACTAAGTTTATATGAAATTTGAAGACCAGATAAATTGGAAACTGAATTGAATGTATATATATAGCCTGGTTAACTTAGTAGTATGTACCTACTAGTTCAGATGTAAACAAATATGAGCTAGAGTGAATGGATAACAGAGCTCATTAAGATCAGTAAATAATTCGTGCTCGTAATAACGAGACTAAAATAAATAATCAAGATGTTTGTCTTGAACAATTGTTAAAAGTGATCAACAGGTAAAATAAGTATTTTTAAAACTGAGAGTTCTACTACTATCAGTAGTCGGTAATACATTTTTTAAACGATACATATATATGTATATAGTATTATGTTACAAGCAAGTTTAAACCTGTTCAAATAAAACAAAGAAACTCTTCAATCATATTGAATACGCCAGATAATATGTAAATGATTTAATAGATGGCCTGCTTTTTCCTGTCTTCAAGCTACAACATATTCCTATTCTATAAATTATGAATTAAATTAACGTGATTATAAAAGATAAACAAATAGTGAATGATTGTTTATAGATTAATTTTTGGGTTATATTGTATCATTTAGTGTTCCATTAAATTATTAATTCATTTTTCAAGTGTATTAAATGACTTCATTTAAGAGTTTTACTCTTCTATCCATTCTTTTTTTTTCTTTACTTCGGTCTCTTACTTTCTTTCAATCTACTTCCTGTAAAAAAATAGTCATTTAGTTAACGAAATATATTTAGCTTTAATCTTTATACTATCATTAAAGATTTATAGATTAAATAACTTCCCATTTACATAGTGACCTTTTTAACTTATTTTTCCAGTATATGTTTTTAAAGTGAGGTTAATATAAATAAATATGGTTAGCAAACTTTATCGACTTTTGTAATCTAATAGTATGTTAATCCTATAGGGGTTTGAATGATGTAAAAATGTTGTGCATTCGCGTAAACAACTATTTACTAAAGTGGTTATATACTCAACTGAAAAATTGAAGAAATATTTTCATTTTAGAAATTTTTGTCTTATAAGAAAAATGTACAATGTTGATTTTATCATATTAAAGCTGGACGACCAAACAGTACTGAAAAGTATGTGACAATCATATTTTTAAAAAAATTCTAATTCATTCAAGATGAAACATAGAACTTTAATTTCTACAACGATAAAAAATAAAAATTATACATATTACTAGGATGCTACTGCATTTATTGTCGAACACAATACACTGTTTAGAAATCTCAAAATGGAATACGAAAGTAATTGCTTTAGTAACCAATCATTCCTAGTTAATGCTCAGTAGACATTTCTTTTGTGTTAAACAAAGTAGAATATTTAACAAATCTTGCCCGTA